GAAGCCCAGGTAAGGTAGGTGGCTCACCCCAGGCCACAGTAATTTGCAGGACAGGAGTCCTTACCTGACTGGAAATTCCAGACTCTTTCCACTAGGAGAGAGCATGTATCTTCTTTACACAATCTGTATGTAACTAGTCTTTTCTCCTGAATATGGCTTGGAATTTCTGTCTCCTTCCCTCCCTTGGTAAGACTGATCCTGTGATCTAGTATGTCTCATACTGGACTCAACTGACCTGGATGGAAACTGGAAAGTTTCTTCAGCTGGCCTCCGTGTTGAGGCTGGAGCCAGCCCGAAGCAACCCACATCCCTGCTTCTCTCATCTGAGGCCCACCCTGGCCCCCTGGTTCCAGAGCCAAACACCTCCCAAGCAGCAGGCGGCCTCCGCCAAAACCTGAGTCTGTGTTAGGAGCACGTGTCTAGGTGTATGACAAGGGGGAGCAATCCTTCTGCCCCAGGTACAGGGTTTGGTCCCACATCCTCTCAAGCCTTGAGTTCAGGACCATGTACAGAGCACGGGCTGTGCATCCTGCCTTCCATCTTCACAGAATATACCTGTGGCTACCAGCTCCCTCCTGGAGGAGGCCAGGGCCCAGGAAAGTGATGTGAAGCCAACCCACCCCACACACGTTCCCTCCCAGGTACAGTAATACAGTCTGGTTTTCCTTTTCTGGCTGCTCACTACAAATTTCCACGTCATTTCCTATTTCAACAGCTTTTATCCAACCCTGGAATGCAGTCAGAAAATGCTATCCTTGTTCAAACTTCCCACTTAAATATGAAAGGATTGGGCCGTAACCTTCTTTGGCCCGAAATTCTGTCTTTCAGTTACATTCTTAGCAGCATTTAGCCTAATAACAAAGATGAAATCATCAGTCTAGCTCTGGATCTCCAAAATGAATGACTGCCTCTATGAAGGCAAAAGGGAGAGGCCACTCATTGCAAAGTGAAGAATGACCCTTTAATGCTGTATCTTGAACTTGGATCCTAAAGACTGAGTTCTGCTTTTCACCATGCCCCAGGTCTCGCTCTGCAGGACTCCGAGTTTCAGAGATGTACTGAAGTATCAATTGTCTTTGTGAGTTTGTGCTTTTACACACACACACACACACACACACAAACACACAAACACACACCCTAATTTCTCTCCCTGAGTCAAAGAATACATGTAATAATGAGTCCTGACTTTTTTTTTAAAGATTTATCCACTTATTCTAGAGAGAGAGAGGGAAGGAGGGCACGAGTGGTGGGGAATGAAAGAGGGAGAGAGAGAATCCCAAGCAGACGCCCCGCTGAGCATGGAGCCCTACATGGGGCTCGATCCCACCCCCCCAAGATCATAACCAGAGGCGAAATCATGAGCCGGGCACTCAACCCACTGAGCCACCCCAGCACCCCGATAGTGGGTGTTTTTGACCACCTCAGTATACTACCAGTCAGGCTACAAAGAGAATTACTTGCTCCAAGTGGAAAGTAGAGTGGAAAATTACAAGGGAGTTGACATTGTTGAGTACCTACTCTGCACCTGGCACTCTATCCAACATTTTATATGCTTCAAATAATTTAAGCTTGCAGGATGAGCTGTTACTGTATCCAAGTGGCAGATGCCCATAAGGTTTTGTAGTATGCTAGGATGGGAAAGATTGAGGTTCAAACCAGGTCTGTCTGATTCCCAAGTCAGTGTCTCATGATGAAAAATGCTGTGACTAATTTCAAAGCTGACTTTAAGCTGAGGCAGTTTATTAAGTGAATGGCTCTATATGTTCCTGTATTTCTTCCAAAGTGACCTCTGCGACCCAGTCATAGGATATAGGCTTTGCCCTGTATTTCTATGACAAATGACTAAATTATGAGTTTGAGAGTATGCATCATCTCATCAACATCTAGTTTATTGTCTGGAACTAAAATGAGCTCAAATAACTATTAGATGAATGAATGAATGAATGTGTTTCTTGAGGTATTAACATTTTTAATTCCAATACCTTTATGCAAGTTTTCATTAAGTGAGTCTCTTGATTACCTATATCAAGTTCATGTCACATACTTGTTAAAATCAATTCATCAGCACATCCCAGACCTTTTTTGAATTGGAATCTCTGAATTGAATCTGCTGGAGGTCTGTATTTAAAGAATATGGCAATTCCAAACTATCTAAAGTCCGTGACCTCTGCTATGTTGCAAATCAGCTGAACAAACGCATTTCCTTTGGGCAACGGGAGCCTGGAGTAAGCCTGGGGCCTCCACACCTTGGGTGGGTCTTCCAGAAGGGTAGAGGAGAGAAGAGAAACTTCTACAGCAACATCTAACCTGTGCCAAACTGATCAGTAGGTTGGAAATCAGTGAATTGCCTTGACCTCTTTTTAAATCTTTTTCAACCCTAATTGATATTTGGTTTTTAAATTGTGATTTTTTTTTTTAAAAAAAAGAATACATACAATCTAAAAAGTCAAATGATGCTAATAAAAAAAAAAAATCCCCTCTACTTCCTTTCTTCCATTTCCTACTCCTCAGAGGTAACCATTTTAAACTCTTAAAAATTATTTCTTTAAAAATTATCTCAATTTTCCTAGAACCACATGCATTTACTCACATATCTTGCTTCATCACATTTAGACTTTATTACTTGCATTTTAATAAATGAGAATTTTAGCTTTCTTATACTCTCCCCTTCCCCTCCCCCACATAGCTAAGCACAGTCTTTTCATTATTAGATATTGTGATTATTGTTCAGTGCTCAATCAAGTAGTAGACTATGATTACACATTTTTTTCTTGTACAAGCTGTTTGTTTTTCCTGGGGTTAACAAGTACCTCATTTTTAAAAAATTCTATTTATCCCCCATTAAGTCTCCCCTTACCCACCACAATCTTTAGAATATGTCCCTTAATTTTGCACATGATCAAGTCCAGTAAATAATTTATCATTTTTACCATACTTTTTTTTAATGTAGAAAATCCTACTTGGATTCTCCATCTATCTCCTCCAATGTCTCTAGGCTTTGACTTCTATTATTTTGGAACTTTCCTTTGCCAATTTCCTTTCCTTCTAATCTGTACTGCATCCTAGTTTTGGTACCTTTTTCTTTCTTTATTTACTCTTCTTTTTTTTTTATTATGTTATGTTAATCACCATACATTACATCATTAGTGTTTGATGTAGTGTTCCAGGATTCATTGTACTCTTCTTTTAGTGGAAAACACCCTCTAATAACCAACTGAGAAAGAGTGTATCAGAGTGAAAATGTTTGACGCTTTGCCTGTCTGAAAACACTACTAATCTTCCATTACCTTTGATTTGGAGTTTTTATGGACAGAAAATTATAGACTGTAGATCATTTACTTTAAAATTTTGAAGGCACCATTTTCCTCTATCTCCCAAAAGAGCTGTTGGGAAGTCTACCAGCATTGTGGTATCCTGATATCTGATCCATTTTATGTTTGAATCTATTTTTATTTTCTATTTGGAAATTTTTAGGTGGTTTTTGTTTCGAAAGCGTATTGACATGGGTACTCCATGGGCCCTTGCAATCCGAAGATATTTGCCCTTTGGTTTGGTTTTCCTTCCTTGATCATTTTCCTCTTTCATATTTTTTTGCTCTCTTTTCTTTTTCATGTTTTCTATTATTCTATAACTTCATTACTCTTTTTTCTTGTTGCCCATCTATTTGTTTTGTTTTATTTTCTGGATAGCATCATACAAATATTGTAGTGGGTTTTTTAAATTGAAGCTATTATATGTTTATTTTATTTTAATTCCAATATAGTTAACATACTATTTTAATTCCCAAGAGCTTTTAAAACACCCTGTTCCAGATTGCAGACATTGTCTATCTAGTTTTGTCTAAAATAGACTATGTGTTTCTTTCCCTCATTTTTTTGTTGTGGTAGGAGATTTTTAAGAGAAGGAGCAGTTAGAAATATCTTTAAAATTGTGAAATAATCTCTTAATTCTATAAGTACAAGAGGAGTTAAGAAGTTACATTTTCACATGACCAATATTTTATATCTACATTTATATAGAACAACCTTTACAAAATGCCCTGTGAGGAAAAGAACCCATTTTGTTATTACCGTGGAAAGCTGAATTGATTCTAATTGGGCAAATCTGGCAGTAGACTCCAGGTGTCCTGAGTCCCAGTTTAAGAGACTTCACCTTAATTAGAAAATTGGTTCTCAAAGATTATTTATTATTACAGTCAGCTGAACAGCTTAATGAAATCATAGGCCCCGTATCAGATCCATCAAATCAGGAATCCCTTAGTGTGAGACCAAGAAATTATATACGTATTTGTCTAAATTTTTTAAAGAAGTTTCCCAGATGACTGCAAGACCAAGTTGGGAAACTATTACATGTTTATATTTTTGTGCCCTTAACCCTCCTCAGGTGATGGTGACTAAACCTTTTTATCTGTTTCTCATAATAATACTCCCTCAAGACTGGCTCATTTGCAATTTGGAACAGAAGGGAAAGATTGCAGCTATGTCAAAAGTCCGTTGCATCATTTTGTTACTGGATGTACCCATGAAACTGCACCAGTCTCCTTTGCCTTATATTGTGTTTGTCACCGGCCAAGAATAAAGGTCTTGATCTACCACGACCACATTTCGTTTTCTACAACGAAACTACATTTCATTGTAGAGCCTCATCTGATGTCACTATTTTCCATTTTTTTCCATAAGGGTCCTCCCAGCACAAGTGGAGAATATCATATGTATTCCATACACCAGCACAGTGGCTTTCTCGCCTCTGCCATCTTGCCTTGCTATCACATCTCCTTGTCTCACCACATGTTGCAAGAGTAAATGGTATTAGTGTCCTACTCCTTGAGCTGTATCTTTCAAGAAAACATTCAGAATAATATGTGGGGTAGATCAGTATAAGGAGGTCCAACGTAACAGACAATTTTTCCTCAAGTACCCCCATTTTCTGCTTGTTATATACCCTCACCTCACACACAAAGCCCCCCAGCTGTTTTTACAGAGTTGCTGCGTTACACTCACCGAGAATGTCCCCGCCTCCTTGAACCATATCACAGTTGCTTGGAGTCACAGCCCTGAAACAAAACACACCCCCAATTCGTATTTGTTGAAGGAGACCAGTACTAACACAACTGCAGAACACCCCTTCCATTCCCCTCAGGCCTGCCGCTGCCAAAGGAAATTAAGACCTTGCAGTTACTAGCCTAATCTTGAACTGCCATTATAAATAAAATGTGACAGCAGATTTAATTGTTGAGAATCAGATCCTTAGTTACTTAGAACAGTACTCGACTGGGGAATTTGCTGGAAAAAAAGGAGTGCTTTTATGGAACAGATCTCGCCTGCCTTTCTTCTCTTTGCTGAGTCCAGTGGACATGTGACCTCATGTCAGCCCCTCACCAGGCAAAATCCCAAGGATGTGGAGTCAAAGTTGTCATCTCATGATACACAACAGAATTACGCTTTTCTCTGCCACACATGAAAGGGGGCAAAGGTAGAAAATAGGCTGGGCTTAGAAATAAAAAGGGACACTGTCACATTGCAGGGAGTTTGAATTAGAATGGGGTCATCATGAAATCACACTTTCAATGACTAATTTAGAGTCAGCCAAAAGACCAGGTGGTATTTGTACCATGGCCTCTCAAAAAGCATTCTAAAAAAATTGCCTAAAGAAATTGTCTATATGGGTGCATAATTGTTTATTCTCAGAAATGCAGGCCAATCCTCTAAACATACTCACATATCACCGTGCATAGTAACACGCAGGCTTGGGGGTAGCCAAAAACAAAACACACAGTTCTCTTTGTAGGTCCAATTCCAAAGCTAAGAACCTTCAGGAACATGTCAAAATGTTCTTCCCCTGACAACAGAGGGCATAGGAGGACACGGACATATTGCCTGGAGATCACATACAGAAACCCTCTAGGAGCCTAGAGGAATAACAGACGCTTGCCTGTAAGTGCCTTAAAGATCAAGGTCCCCATGAACGAAGGATGAATTATTCTGGAAGACATCAGAGTGCTAAGAGATGAGTCAACCTTCAGGCCACAAGTGTGAGTAAAGGGAAGAAGAATTATCAGGAAGTGAACACCAGACCCGGCTTGTTCTTGTGGTTTCCCCATCTCCGGTACATGCATAATTACCAAAACCTAGTTTGGGCGTGTGTAACTGTTAAAACCTAGTTCAGCATAGGACAGGTGTGAATTCCCACTGTGCTGAATTCCCAGCGGCCGAGAACCAGAAGTCACGTGGGAATTTGAGCGAGAGCTGTCCCTGAGAACCTCAAGAAGGGCAGATTGGGTCCAACCACTATTAAGCATCTGCATATACCCCCAAATAAATAATGGCTTATATTTGCATAGCATTTTATAATAGTGTCCCACTTGATCCTCATTCCCATGCAGTCTGGGCACAGGTTGTTGGTTCCATTTTATCAGTGGGCAAGTTGAGACCCAGGAAAGCTAAAGGAGTTATCCAAGATCACCCAGCTGACAGTGGAGGGTCCCACTTTAGTTTTCTGATCTCACCATCAAAATGTTTCTTTTCCAATCCATAAGGACAATTTTGATTTGAAACAGTTCTGAATTTGTCCATGCCTTTTCTCACTCACCTCTCCACCCCACATCCGTTCTCACGATGCTTCACATAACTAGTTAATGATCTCAACATTTAAGGCTGGAGGAAGCCATCCACTCACCTGAATCCCAGAAGCACTAACACTGCATTAGAATCGTCTGCAGAAACGGCCAGCCCTGTGGACTGGCTGAGACCTCCCCTCTCTCTGTGTGGGTGTGAAACTCCAGGCGAGGGGACCTCTACATTTCTGCCATCACCAGCGCCAAGCCCCACCCTCTGACTCCATTATACAAAAAGCAAACACAGCGCTGACCTCCTTTAATGTGAAATCCCCACTCCAACCAGCTCTGACAGCAAGTGGCCTTTGGGTGCCCTGCCTGAAATAAATGGGACTGGATCAACACACTGGCCTTTCCTGGCACCCCAGAAACCAGAGACATTCCTCCCCCAGGAATTCGTGTGCAGCACTGAGAGCATGAATCTTGGATGCCTTTTCAGAAGGAACCACGAGCCATTTATTCTTAGTCTAAAATTGGCAGCCTTTACATTTCGGGGAATTTTTAATAGGACTAGCAGAGAAACCAACATTAGGGATTATTTTCTCAGTATGGGGTTAGATGTGTAATGCATATGTTTGCCCTGAGGACCCTAAACCACATACTATAAAACTTTGTTAAAATGCCTTTCTCCTCCTCAACTATTAACATTTTCCTGTGCATATTGTTCATTTGTAACAGTCCCAGCCAAAAGGTTATAAAGCTACGTTCCCCCACAGACCATTATTTTTGTGCTAATTAATTAGTGAAACCAATATCTCAGATATGAAATTCCCAGCTCCAGTTACTCAGTTTGGCTAAAAATCTGCTTTTCTAATTATTGACTACTTTCTGCTACTTTAGGTCCACCACCAAAGTTCTTGGACAGAGCTAGCTCCTGGGAGCTGGGGAGATCTCCAATGGCAACAGAGTTCCACATTCAAGGGGGGAGTGGGAGGAAGGGACTGCAGCTGTCAGAGTCACTGAGGATTTGGGAGGAAGTAAGAGGAAGAGAAAGAGGAGATTTGCAGGGCCGACTTAAAAAGGAAAAAGACCTTTTGACAAAATTTCAGGGAGGTGTAATCCCCTAAAATTACTAATACCCTTACACTCTTAGAGGCAACACAGTCTTCAAAAGGTATAGATCAAGGGAATAATGATTTAGACTCCCCTGGAACAAAATCTGCATATATATTGTCGTGTTCTTATGCCCTTGATTGTTTGGTTTCGTTTTATTTCTGAAATCCTGGAGCTGCCTAAATTTTTGTGTCTCATTTGATAGGAATTTAGGCAGATTGTTTTCTCATTACTCTCAATATTTATCACTTACGTTGCATGTCAGGGCTTTTGAATCAGACAAGAACTTTGTAGGGGTGTGAGGGGCAGCAAAGAAGGGGAGGGAAGGATTTGTAACGACGTGGATGGAACTGGAGGGTATTATGCTGAGCGAAATAAGTCAATCAGAGAAAGACATGTATCATATGACCTCACTCATATGAGGAATTCTTAATCTCAGGAACAAACTGAAGGTTGCTGGAGTGGTGGAGGGTGGGAGGGATGGGGTGGCTGGGTGATAGACATTGGGGAGGGTATGTGCTATGGTGAGTGCTGTGAATTATGTAAGACTGTTGAATCACAGATCTGTACCTCTGAAACAAATAATACATTATATGTTTAAAAAAAAAAGATAGTAGGAACAGAAAAATGAAGGGGGTGGGAATCAGAGGGGGAGACGAACCATGAGAGACGATGGACTCTGAAAAACAAACTGAGGGTTCTAGAGGGGAGGGGGGTGGAGGATGGGTTAGCCTGGTGATGGGTATTAAAGAGGGCATGTTCTGCATGGAGCACTGGGTGTTATATGCAAACAATGAATCATGGAACACTGCATCAAAAACTAATGATGTATGGTGATTAACATAATAAAAATAAATAAATAAAAATTAAAAAATCATTACCAAAAAAAAAAAAAGAAGGGGAGGGAAGGACAGAAATGACACGGTCTGAGCAAGAACAGAGACAAAAGCCATGGAATTGTTTTGCTAAGGGCTTTTTTTTTTCCTCCAGAATCCATCGGACTCATCAATGTTTGGTGTCCTCCCTGCACACATCTAACTCACCACTTGTCAGACAGGGCCCTCCAGCTCCAAAAACTTCGTAAACTCAGACTACGACTTATGACAACCAGTTCTCCAATACTCTGATAAATGAATCCATTAGCGGTAATAGCTAGCAATCAGTTAAAGGTAAAAACTCCTCCTCTCCCTCACTCCCAGCCGGTGTCTCTGCTTTCAAGAGAACTTGGAGAGTTTCAGTCAAGGAAAATAACTCAGGTGTCATTTGAGGCATCGTGGGAGAAATTCTCTCATCATTTGCATTTTAAGTATTTCCCCAATTTTTATTATTGTACCACCGGATGATTTTGTCCTATTCTATTACAGGCTCAGTATTTGTCTTTAATTCTTTCCACTGACCGTGATGTTTTACTGATGTGTATTTCATTGTGTTTGCTTTTTAGGTGATAGCTCAGCGGTTTATTAAATGGTCTCAGCTAGGTGGGGTAAACACATGGCTAGGGTTTTGTTTTTCACCGATCACTTTCTTCTCTGGTAAAAGAAAGAGGTGTGAGAAAGAGAAGTTGGATGGCAATGTTTTAATGTTTTCAAGACTAACGGACAAATTAAGTGTTAGACAAATGAGGCACTATAGTCCTTTCACCTTTTAATAATAGCTACTGCTTCTTTAATAGCTCTATCTAGCAAGCACAGGTATGTACAGTATCTCACTGAATCCTCACAACAACTGTATGGGGTAGCGACTGTTATCATCCCTATTTTACAAATGAGGGAACCGAGGCGCAGGGAGGTTACATAACCTGCAGGAACATCCAAAGCTGATACACAGAAAAGCTGGCATGCATACCCAGGCACTTGGATTCAGAGCCCGTTTTCTTAATCTTCAGCATATAATGTCTCCCTATTAAAATATAACAGAAAAATGAATTTGGAAGCACCTGAAAGATCACAGGCTACTAGGTAAAATATTATTTTGTGAAGAAGATGAATGCATATCTTCTAATTTATTTCCTTCAGATGAATCTGTTTCTCTTCCAATGTATTCTGACATTTGTAGACGTAGCAGAATCAAAGATTACTGGGTATTTGTCTGTGGTAACATCAATTTTGAGATGCTGGACACTCTACCAGTAAGTGAACAGCATTTTACTTTTAATGATATATTAACTGTAACTGCATATTGCCCTGCTTAGAATGCACATTATTGGTGAGAGGCACTGGGCTGTCACACCGAGTTCTGCAGGGGCTGTTTCGCAGCCTGATACTTTCCATCATTGTTTTAAAAGTAATAATGTAAGGGCGCCTGTGTGGCTCAGTCGGGTGTGTGACTATTTCAGCTCAGGTCATGATCACAGGGTTGTGAGATGGAGCCCCACGTCGGGCTCAGCACTGGGCGTGGAGCCTGCTTAAGACTCTTTCTCTTTGCCTCTGCCTCTCACCCCCAGCTCATGTGTTTTCTCTCTCTCTAAAAAAAAGAAAAGAAAAGAAAGTAATGTAGAACATTCTCCTTATATTTCCAGTGACAATAAAGGGGATACAGAAATCATATTTGAGTCTCAAAATGACAACTATGAAAGAATGAACAATTATAAAGCAAAGGCTCAAGAACTGAGTTGTTGAAGTAAATGCAATTGCACATACGTGAATTGTTTTGTTCAGTATAGCCCATCTCAGAGGAGAGGGATAAGGCAACAATCGCTGGAAGAATGTTTGCTAGTAATTCATAAGAAGAAACACAGCCCTGGTGTCGTTTCTCATCAGGGAGAGGGAGTTCACTTGAACAGGACATTGCTTTTCCCAACAAAGGAGCCAAGTACCCATCTCCTTTCAATGCTAGAACATGGGGCAAGACTCTCCTTTGGCCAGAACCAAACAAGGAGAACAGAGCACTTGCACTGGAGAGACACAGATAACTTCAGGCTTTGCAGATAGAAGAAGCCGCCATTTTACAGAGTGATACAGTTGGATAATAGCTGATATCACTCTAGAGAGGCGTCTCTGGCCATGCACAGTTCTGAGGGCTTGAAACATACTAACCCCTTTAATCTTCTCAGTAATAGGAGGTATTAGGGAGAATTTCTACCCCCATTTTGCAGAAAAGTTAAGTAAATGGCCCCAGAACCATTTTTCGGTGTTTTTCACCAAAACCACAGAACCAAGATTTGGATCTGGAAAATCTATGCTCCTAGCCACAATATTATGCAGCTTGTCAGGGGAAAAAAAAAAAAAGGTTCTATTTTAAGTGAAATTTGAACTAAATATGAAAGCCCAGTGGACATAAGCAGAGAACATGAACCAGGTAAAGCATTTAGAAGATCAGCACATCCTAAAAGAAGTGAGATCTGGATGAGAACGAACAAAGCTATCTTCTTACCTTGTGTAAAAGTTTTGAAAAAAAATTCCTAGTTCAGAGGTGACAAAGTGGAAGTGAGGAGAGAAAGGGAGAAGTTGGCAGGGGGAGACATTAGAAATGAATATCAGAACTTCACAGAATAGAGTTTGCAATATGCTGGGCAGAATTATATTTCAGGAAACCATATTTCGTGTCATCCATAATTCTGTTCTCGGTAAGTCCCTTTGTTTTCTGAATAAAATGCTGAGATATGATTCCATTATTTCAGGAGGTAGATATTCAGGCTGGGAAGACCCATGTGACTCTTGGTGGTCATAACTGGAGAGCTCAAGCATTCAGCAGCACCCATTAGGGAATGTGGCCTCCACAGGACAGTTTCTCTCTGGTTGTGCTCTGCATTTTAGAAAGTGACTCAAAGATCTCCTGTCATGATAGCTAAAGCTTAAAACATGCCAACAACCAAAGCCCGGGGGTTGGGGCAGGAAAATCATTTTGTTCCTTGTAAGGCTAGATGGGATAATTAAGTTATAAAGAACTCAGAGGTGCCGGGGGAACTATCACAATCATAAACAATGATTAAACAGAGCCTAAAAAGAAGCAAAAACCATCAGGCTTTCTAAACAGAACAGTAGGCTACAGAGAAGCAGTCTTCACATGCGAGAGCAAACATGAGGCTTTAACTGGGGACATTCAACTTCAGGGTGAATTCCGGACTCCAGATTTTATAAAACACTGAAAGGCATTTCAAAAACAGGTAACGGAATCTCCAAGTCTGTGGCTTTTTAGTTTTGATCTTTGGAAGTAAAGAATACACTGGCCTGGGGTGGTTTTAATGCAGTCTTTCTTGGCAATGGGACTTGCTTGGCTGGTGTTTTGGGGTTTCAGGGTCCCACGAAGGAGGACCACGATGGGCCCTAACTCCCGCAGTGAGTGTGGGCTCACCCCCTGGAAGCTCCTGGAGCCATCATCGGAACCCCAACCAGTGCCAAGAGCAGATTTTTATTTTCTGTAGCTGTCAGTAGAGTCCTGTGTTCCATACATGTAAAC